GTGGGGGAGGACAGGAGAGATGGGAGGGCAGGGATGGTAAGGGGAAACAAAGGAGGAGGCAACAATGCTTGATAAGAAATGTACTCATTACCTTGCTCATGTAATTGTAACCCCTCCATACGGTATTTTCACAATAAAAAAATCTATTAATACAAAAAACAGCATCATAGACACACAAGATTTCAAGATTGGAAGAGTACTAAGAGGTCATCTAGAAGAGTCCTCCACTTACTTCCCACCCTTGGCAGTGGATTCTTAGATCATCCCTGTATTGTGATACCAAAATTGGAGCAGCTCCAGGGACATTTTACTTATTAATTTTCAGTGGCAGCTGATCTCTCTGACCAGCTCTGCTTAACAAGATTTACATAAAATAAAAAATAGAATCCATCTCCCCTATACCTTCTTGCTTTCCTTTAGAGTCACTCAGAACAAGGATTATTTTTTCTGCATACTTCCATTATCCTAAGAGAAATGAAAACTTCTAGCATCTCAATTCCTAGGACTCTGCAATGGCTCATCTCCTTTTGTGACTGCTCCATTTTGATAGCATTTGTCTTTAAGGTTTATTCTCCCAGTGGGTGCTACCTCTTCTATATTGTACTATTATTCCCTTCCTACCAAGCAAGCAAAGGCTTCTAGAAGGCTAAACCCCTAGGAGCCCATTGCAGTACCATCACTCTGCTTTCCAAAAGCCATTTGAAGCATCAGGTAAGTAAACAGCTTGAAAGGTGCATTGGGTTTCTGAGAAGCATCAGTCTAGGTAAGCGACAAATATGCTCTAACTTAATAATCTGTTCATCACACACAGTAAGAGACACCCGGACTTATTCAAAGACACTGTGGGTGGTGCAGAGGATGAATAAGCATGATTCACTGCCACTCTGGCACCCGGGGCACGAAGAATAATAAAATCCAAAGAATTGTAGCCGCCTGAGTAGTAAATTAAGAGATCCTGAGCTCAGCTAGGCTCTAGACATCAATGTTACCATGGCAATAAAGGGCCTCAGCGTTCAGTAGCTATTACAGAGAAGGCATCTAATAGGCTAGTCTATGTCACAGCCAAAGCCCAAGGGGCTAGCAAAGAAGACCAATTAGCATATCCATTCATTATGGTCCTCTGCACACTTCTTCTCTTAATTCCAATTAGTTGTTTGTTTGAACCAATGTCTCTTGCCTGCATTATACTCATTAGTGCCTTTTAGCCACTGAAAATAGGCTTGAATTTCCACAAGGACCTCACAATTTCCCAGGCCTTCATTTTTCTCCTTGGGGGCCTAGGCTTACATAGTCACAAGCCCATGGCCTGCCATCCCTCGAAATGAAAGCATCTCTTACGGTACAACTGTACTCCACAGATGGAAACTCTGCTCAGGAATGTGATGTGCTAAGGGATTTTCCTGGAACCCAGTGAAATAGGGATCTGGGGCCATAATCTGGACCATTCAGGTCAAGGAAACCCTCTGGCTGTAGCCAGTGAGCTTGCTGGCTACGCCTGCTGGCCATTATTCAGAGGCTAGCTGTTCGGGAGGGGGAACTTTGGGCACTGGGGACCAGACTGGTATCATAAAAGTCAGGCAGTAGCAGTTCCAGCTTGAAGGACTGCCCTTCCAGGTCTAGCCTATTCTGGGAAACTGTCTCTGATCCTTGTAATTTCAAATGAGTTCTCCTTCCTCTATGCACTTTAAAAAGGACATACATTATGGGCAGCCTCAAGACTAGCATGGCCTAGAACTTCCTAATCCAATGACTTCAGAGTCCACAAGTTCTAAAGGAGTGAGCAACAATTTCTGTGTGATCCCAGAGACAACTCTTAAGCTTCATTGCACTGACCTCCCAGAGTCTACCTGTGGATCTAGCCAATCCCTGAGTAGAGAACGCTCACAACTGCTCTGTGATGGTTCTGGGACTTCTGACCCCTCACCTCGCTCCACATTTGTAGAAACTACTCACAAGAATAGATATCATGAACTAAACAACTGTATAATGAAGTTTCTCTGAAAGGTGCTAACAGCTTTCTTCCACTGGGAACAGAAGAACAGGAACAGTCCATAAGATTGTGTTCTCAGTTGCCATTGTCAATTTGGATATAAGGTTGTATTAGAGCAGGAAACCAGGACAAAGAGCTTATAAAACAGCTACTAATTCTTGTATCCAAGGAATGAGCATGTCATTTTAGACACCTGGATACTTTTTCAAAAGTCTGTTGTCATATTTAATGTCTTTTTCCCCCTCCTTTTCTTGCCTTTGTGGGTAAAGTTCCATTTGCGGCCCTACTGGCTAATTCTGGTTCCATTCTGCTGTATTACAAAGCATTTTTGTTTTTTCAAAATCACAAAGAATGGTCTCTCTATAACTCCTGCTTTCACTGTATTTGATGTAGGTATAATTTGTGGAGGGGAAGGGGAAAAGCAAATAGTTTAAATAGGGATACAGGTGGACCCATTGCAACAATGAGATGTACAAGTTGTTATGTCAAAAACAAACTTTACAACTTTGGTGGGGGGGAGGGGAGAGGGGGGGGGGGAGGATTGGGTGGGGGGGCAGGGGAAGGATGGGAAGGGATGGGAAGGGGAAACAAAGGAGGAGGCTACAATGCTTGATAAGAAATGTACTCATTATCTTGCCCATGTAATTGCCCTCTGTACAGTATTTTCACACACAAAAAAAGTTGAATGTCAACTCATAGAGATTTTGATTTGTTACATTCTATAGGATTTGGTTATTTTACCCCATCTAAAAGCTGACATTACAGAAGGCAGTCTGGATTTAAATAGGGATTCAGGTGGACCCATTGCAACAATGAGATAGATATACAAGTCGTTATGTCGAAAAACGAACTTTACAACTTTGGGTTGTAATTGAAATGCATTACAAATATATTACGTATATATCAAATTACCAATTACCCAGAATAACAGAGAATAACAGATTCTGAAGAATGGGTTATTTTGTCACCTGAGCTTATATCACACCAAATTGTCTTTTGTCCTCTAACTCTTGATTTTGAAATTTCAATGAAATCACTGTACTCTCTTTGCCTTCATAAGACCAGTTAATTTATACTTTGGTTCTAAGGTTCCCATGGGCTTCAGAATTCTCACATCAGCATTAGTAATAAGAAAAAATACTGGGGTGGTCCTGGACATATAACTGAAGGAAAGTAAATCAGTAACTGTAGATAGAGGCACTTGCATGGCTATGTTCATTGTGGCATTATTCATAATAAGCAAGCTATGGAAATAGCTCAGATATGATACAACTGATGAATGGATAAACGAAATGTAGCATATATACATAATGGAGTATTTAGTCAGTAATAAACAAGAATGAAATTATATTATTTACAGAAAATGAGTGAGACAGAAGATCAAATAAGCCAAATAAGCCAAACTTAGAAACACAAATATTATTTTTTTCTCATACGTGGAATACATATACATATATATGTATGTATGAAAATACCATAAAAAATTCATGAAAAGTTTTGAAAAAGTGGACAGGGGATAAGAAAAAATAATAGAGGGGTGAATATGATCAAAATATATTGTATGCATACATAGAAATATCAAAATTAACCATCATTGTAAAGCAATAGTCACTAATAAAAATACTGGAGTGGAGAAGGTATAAGATATAGAATTCAACATTTGCCCAGACCTGATTATCCCCCAGAATATATATTGCTTTTATTAAAATCCAAAGTAAGGCAAGTTTTCTGTCCTCTCGGTCTGTCTGTCTGTCTGTCTCTCTCTCTCTCACTCTCTCTTTCTCTCTCTGTGTGTTTCTTTTCAAAGGAGGGTTGAAGGAGAGGCTTTGTTTAGTAACAATATAGCAAATGACATCCTTATTTAAAATGAACCCAATTGAAAGCATTTTCATCAGAATAGCCCAGAATTGGAGTTATGATTAAACCAATTTAAGTGATTATGCTGGTTTTCTTAGTTATTAATGTGCTCAGAATGTGAGTTTGTATGATTTAGCCACCTGAGTGCATTGGGGGAGCAATTTGTAAAAGAGGGATTACAAAGACCATCTAGGCCTTTTAGCCACCCTGGCTGCAGTGATGTGGGCAAAAAGAGACCAAAAATGCTATACAATGTTCTTAGCTGTTTCTATTAATTTTTCTTTTTCTTGTTCCCACTTTGGCTTCAGAAGTTATATATGTCTGGGAAACTGACACTGCAAAGTTCTGGCATGTTCCCTGCCCTGATGCTAAGGGATAAATATAGAGCTCAACCACTACAGAAATTTGGCCAGGATTCCAAGGGGTGTGTATGAGGGGCAGTGACTGATGGGGCCACTGATGTGTAGGCTATAAAAATGCTTCTTTATGTCCAGGACCCTCTTTGAATCAGGGGGCGTTAAAATAGGAGCCTTGCCTGTAAAATCAGAAGGTATAATCCACATTTTGAAGGAGCTCATGGGTTGACACAATAAGGAATATTGTAGGTGGCTTAGAGTGTGTGGAGGGGAAGGGGGTGGAGAGAGCAAAGGGAATCTTCCCTGACACCCTAGATCCTTTTGCATGAGATCAGCCTTATGAAAAAAGCAAGTTATTCTTGGACATCTCCCCTCACCCCAACTCCCACCCACGCCCCACCCCCTGCACACACTGATATCCAACTCTCAATTGAGAAGAATATGACTTAAGATTTCCATTGGGCCCATCATATCTCTGGTGCTGGAGAAGGGCAAGGGGTGGAAAGACTCATGAAGTGGGGGGGGGGTGAGTCGCTCATCCTCGTGACCCAGAATATCTCCCCCTCCCTGTAATGATGATCTTGCTTTTCCATAAGGGCTTTCCTTTGATTCAGGGAAAGAGCCAACCAATGAGAGAGGGGCATGTTAGATTATTTTGGGGAAGGGCTTGTGCCAACAAAATTCACTTTTACCAGGCGCCAAGTGTCCCCAGCAACCAGTGTCTCCTGTACCAGCAGAAGCTCCAGAACTCTCACCCACTTGCCTGCCTCTGCGGCGTATCTGCCCACTGAACAGCCATGAGAAGGCAACTCCGATCCAGAAGGGCTCCAGTCTTTCCTTACGGTTATGGCTACAGACTTGTGAGTCCCAGGGAGCAGAATATTTTATTCTCCTCTTTTTCATGTGGTGGGTTGGGGGCTGTGTAGGCCTTATATTATGGCCTCCTCTTCTTGAGAAGAGAAGAAACATAAAAGTTTGGAGAATCTCAGGGTTTCAAAGAAGAGCAGTGATTCCCAGAACCCTAGGGCACCCCAGAATGCTGGAAGGAAGGAGGCATCCAGTTTTCCTATGGAACAAAGATAAGGGAAAGGAAAGAGATCAGAGAATAAGGGTCTTCGGAAGTTTTTTCTTGGGAATCTGGAATTTGAACAGACATTTTGGAGTCTGGAAGTAGAAGTTTCATTTTAAGAATTTTAGCCAAAAAAAGAAGGGAAAGGGAAGAGGAAATGAAAGGCACTGTCTACCCAGCTGTCTCAGTCCCTTTGGGTGGTAGCTTCTTAGAACCCAGCTGCTCTTTTTCTAAAGCAGAAATGCCAACTGTAGCTAAAATCATAGACTCCTTGATGGAAACTAGGAAGGTGCTTAGATATCATCTTACCAGAACTCCTCATTATACAAAGGAAATATTGGGGCTCAGAGCCTCAGAGTGACTTGCAACTTAGTGGTGGCACCAACTTGAGAATGCATCTCTCCTCATTAATAACCTTATGTTCTTTCCACTGTATTCAAAATATACAACTCGCTAGGCCCCTATCCACCACTCATTTACCTCCTTGCCTGACTCCTCAACTGGCCTAATACACACACAGACACACACACATATACACATACACAGACATGAACATGCGTGTGCACACACACACAATCACCTTTGGTATCACAATTTATCTCAAGGATGCATTACAAACTTATTTGACCCAAAAGTTTTTTCACATATATTTTGCTATAAATCACTAATATATAATATAACAATACGTTGGAGGGGAGTATTCTGACATGTTCCACAGAAATCATTATAATCTGAATGCTAGGAACAAGTAAAGAAGAATCCATTTTTCTTTGGATGTGACCACTTATATATCCAGGGAATTAAGTGAAGACTACCAAAGAGCCAGCAGAAGAAAACACAAATTTGTTTAACCCCATGTCAATAGAGGGCTTCCCTTGGCATTCTTGCAACAATTTGTAAGATCTTGATCTCTCCCAAATCGCTTATAGCTGTGTAGTCAAAGCCTGCGGGGATGGCATAACTATTCCTTATTTGACTGAGTATATATGCAGTGTCACTGAAAGTGTTGTGTCTAATATGCTGTTTGTCACGAAGTTTGGAGTTTAGGTATAATGAAGGATCTAGATTGTATAATACTTGAGATTTAAAAAGAAATTAATGAAATTGTATACTTAATATTTTCCTATGAAATTAAGCAGCCATTCAGATGTTTACCAAGTGTTTTTCAATTCAGGGTGAAAATTTATCCTTTGGGCATACTGTTTGTTTATATATTTATATATTTACATTGCTCAAAATGGAGCCACCTTTTGTCCTTCAGACTTCCCTTTTAGGGAAACATAATGGCCTTAGCATACACCGACCACTATATCCCAGCATAGTCTCAACACACTATTAAATAAGACTAATACTAGATTAGGAAATAGACATTCTCATCACCAAACCGGTTTCCTACTGGATTTTTTTTTAAAATAGTCACATGAAAGTACATTTTACAGATAATTTAATTAATAAGAAACTTTTGAAGAAGGCATCTCTTGAGCAATGTGACAATCCCTGGAAGCAGAAAAGAGAGGGGAGAAAAAGGTATTTGAGGTTCCTGAAGTAAAACTCAGGTGGTAGGAGTCTGTGGAAGGATATTAGCTGTGAAAAGATTAATTCTCCCTGGGAGGGTAAGGCTTTAATGACAAGTCACTTTTAATAGGATTATCATGAGAGCTCATTTCTACAAATAAGATCAGACTGAGGCTATGGGCCTCTGATACCTCCATAGAACAGAGGTGCAAGGCAGGAAGAGGCAATAAGGAGAGAAAAAAGTTGCTCAGAAAATACACAGAATATGAATTCTTCCAGTACAAAATAGTACATTTCAAATTCTCTGATACTCTGGTAAAATAGGGGCCATAATAACTTCCCAATCTGGTGCACATGACTACTGAGGTGAGAGTATTTACCCAGAGTTCCTGTATCCTGATTTTTAAGTCAGGCAGGTATCATTGACATTTCCTTAGTACTGACTGAGTATTTAGCTGTGGGCTTCAACCTGTGGTTGGCCAACAAGAGGTTAGAAAATATAGACTCTCCCACTGGGTGTTCAAAATCTAAATTAAGAGATCTAATTTGTATATAGCTTCACCTATAAGTGAAAGATATCTAAGAACATGTATTGATACATTCAACATTGGCTGACATACAAGGTTTATTTTTCCTAAGCTTATACTATACACTTATATCAGAGTCAGAAATTCTTGATTTTAAGTACCCACACTCTCTCAGGAACCCAGAATCCAAGACATTATTATGCTTCATATGTCTTCTAAGCTACCACTAGGCACTTGTGCTCAATGTGATGGAAAAGGAACATAATTGTCCAGAGTATCAAGAGACATATGTTCTGAAGACTGTCTGCTTTGTCTTGAATTTTTTTGCATAGCTTTGGTCTGATCTTGTCTTTTCTCTCAGACTCAGAAAATCAAGTCTTAGAACTCCCTGTAAGTTCTGATATGGCATATGATATAGAGCTGTACATTTGAACAACTTAGAGAGCAATTTAAAAATACCTATACTCAAGAGCTAGATAGTTCTGAGTAGACCAAATGCTGAGATTAGAGCCTTGTCATTCTGTATCACTTACACTGAATCTGAACAATGCAATGTGTTTAGCTCCACGAAAAGCAACATTTTAATCTGGGTGTCCTCTAAGTGGCCTTTGAAGAACCAGGCAGGAAAGGGGCAGTACAGAGCCCCTGACCTCTAGCATTCGACATATCCAACCCCAACAGGTGCACAGGTTCTAACACTCTTCAGACTTGGACAGCAGAGAGAAGGGAGGGTGAACTCATTTTCTGTTGCTGCAGTGAACCTTGGCAGGCTCCCAAAGAATTTGTGCCTGATAGACATTTCAAACATCACTTGGTGAAGTCATTGGGTCTTTTTCCTTCCTTCCCTCCCTCCCTTCCTTTCTTCCTTCCTTCCTTCCTCCTCTCTCCGTCCCTCCTCTCTCTGTCTATCTCTGTCTCTCTGTCTTTGTCTCTCTCTTTCCTTTATTTTTGCTTCTTATAACCAACCATCATTCATTGACAGCATCAGGTACTGGTCTCAGACTAAAAAAAAGAAAAGAAAAGAAAAAATCAATCAACCAACCAACTAGTATAGCTGAGTTTTACTATGTGCCCAGAGTTTTATTTGTTGGTTTGACTAGAAATCAGAGGAGACTAACAAAGTATCAGTTGAGGTCCCAGCTCTCAAGTGGTTCATCTATCTAGCTTAAGGCAGCAAGTGTCAAATAAACCTCCATTTCGTGATTCTGTTGAGATGGCAATCATAAGTTTGAAGAGAAGTACAGCAGTTCGCTTCTCTTGTTAATGTCTGTCCCAGTCTATTTTTAGGCATAACTTGGGATGGTAAGGTTGAACAGCTGAAAGTGTTAGTATAAAGATGACTTGGACTAGGAGTATGCCATCATAGATATAAGTGTCTAAGACTATTCCATTGTCCACGATGAGCTCAGCTATACCCTGACAGGTCAAAGTTAAGCGGGAGGTCAAGGCCCTGGGACAGCATATCAATATGAGATGTCCTACGGGAAGAGCTCAAAAGCCTGATGCTGAAAATAAAACATGCACCTCTGTGCAAAGAATATGGATTCAATACCTGTCATAGAAAGGATTTTTTTCACAAGAACAGAAAGAGAATCTACTCTTGTCACAGTGAGTATGTTTATGGGGAAGTGGAAATTTGAAGTGTCTCCAAATATTGAGTTGTTTCCACTTACTTTTGACTGGTTGGATGTGCCATTGGAAATTTTTTTCAGAAAGACTGTGTTTTGTCACTGTTCCAGGATGATCAGGATGAAGTGAATCAGAACTACTTAGCAGATGAAGAGGAGGAAGCAGAAGAAGAGGCTCGGGTGGTGATGGCACTTGAATTGGAGGAAGAAGAAGATGAGGAGGAGAAAGAAGAGGAGGAAGAAGAAGAAAAGGAGAAAAAAGAGGAAGAAGGGGGTCAGGGTCAGCCAACAGGCAATACCTGGTGGCAGAAAGTGCAGATCTTGAATGAATACTTATGGGATCCAGAGAGAAGGATGTCTCTGTCCCAAACAGGTCAGAGTTGGAGTAAGTCCCATTAACCCCAATGCCTCAGTCTGGTGTCCTTTGCATTTGGGCTGGTATCCAAGGCTCCTTTGCTATATACTGGATGGGTCTGTTTATAAACTTCTCTAAATATTTAACACAAGGACACTGCTGCCTAGGAAAATGCCTGGGTTGTAGACAGTTCCATCAGAACAAATTCTAACTATATTAACAAATTCAGTTATATAATTAAAATCAACTAGGCTCAGTACAAAATACAGGGAGGCAGTGAAAATGAACTGGAAAAAAATGATTTTCTAAAAGTCCCAGTTCTGTCATTTTCTACCCATATAATGATGCCCTCATCATTTACCCTCACTTAGCCTCAGTTTCCCCACCTGTCCAATGAATATCCCTGCCTTGCCTCTCTCACAGGCTTAGCATGGGCCTCCCATAAAGCATTAAAAATGTAAGATAGGACATACCCTGCTGAACACTATTTCTAGCATTTGTGACTGAAACTCTTGCAAAGTGTTTAAGTAAAGTCAGAGAGCATGATAGATACAGGGCAACTGGGTTTAAGGAGATGATTATTGAGTCTAAGCTTCCTTAATGCTCAGTTGATGGGAATGGGGGAGGGAGAAATTATACGCACATGCGCACTCACACTGCACTGGTCTTGGGGTTTGAACTCAGTGTTTGGCTTCTGTCCATGAGCTTTTTTTACTTGAGGCTAGCACTCTACCACTTTGAGCCACAGCATGACCTCTGGTTTTCTGGTGGTTAATTGAAGATAAGAGTCTCATGAACTTTTCTTGTCTGGGCTGGCTTTAAACTACACTCCTAAGATCTCAGCCTCCTGAGTAGCTAGAATTACAGGCCTGAGCCACCAGTACCTAAATTGATGGTGAAATTATATGCCTTTACTTCATTTTCTTTGGACTACATCCTTTACCATTTTCACTTCATAAGTTTCTATTCCCTTCCCAGTTTCCTATGTACTTTTTAAATGATTCCTGCTAAGTCTCAGGATGTTTTACTTGAAGCAAAATTCCCACTTGGCACATTCTACATAGCCCCCAAAAATGAGCAGCTGTTGATTTGTAACTCAGTTAATCCACTGAAGAAAATATTAGAGATACCATGGATGAAGTAAGTTTCCTAGTGCCAAAATCTAGGTTGCTGAATTTGGTGACCATGACTGAGAATTCTCTCCTTCACAGTTAATGTTGCTAGTTTACCTCAGTTAGGGTCAAACAGCCAGACCTACTTCCTGGAATCAGGAATAGCAGTTATAGGGCTTTAAACAACACCCGTCACCCATCACCCTCCTCAGCTCCCAGCCTCACCCTAGCCCATCCCTCAAACCTTAACTGGAACAAATGTACCATTTAAGGGACATTCTGACATTCTCAAAGCTGTAGACAAATGCTGGACATTCACTGGAGCTCCAAAGAGGGCACAGCTGTTTGTTGCTTGCCTAAAGAGGACTGGAAAATTATACCTTGTGAAAAGAGAGAGAGATTCTGAGAAGAAAAACCATGCATTAACCCCTAAACTGCTACCCTTAGAAACTTTCCCAGATATACTCATATAAATTGCTCTAGTGGATGGCAATCCATAAGCCAATAGAAGGGGACAAGAAAAGAAGTTTCAATACCTGAGGAATATATGTCAGGAGAGAGGCCATATGCCTATGGTAGGGTGTGGCCAGACTACTTGTTAGCACAGAAATTCAGGCTTCTTCTGTTGGACTATCATTAGGAAAAGAGCAAGTGATAGTATGAATGCTTAGGCCATTAAAACAATAGCTTATTGCACTGTTTCCTCACAGCAAGATGACCATTTGAACATTTAATCACCCTGTTCCAACCTGGACATCAACAAGTCCAACCTATCTACTCAGCCTATTAATATGCACTTCGATTTTAATTTGGTTCCCAGGCAACCCCTTATCTTAGGAACTATATGTTATTTTATTAGATATTGACAAGAACTATATAAGGTAGTAATTTTTATTATCCCCATTTTGCAGATGCAGAAACTGAGGCTTAGAGAGCATAATAAACTTATCTAAAGTCACAAAGTAACTAAGTGACAGTACTAGGTTTCAAATACCAGAGTTCTTTCTCTTGCTATAAAACTTCATTTCAGTAACTGGATGAGCTGTTTTGATAGAAAGAGTGAAGAGTTGGTAGCCATGAGTACTTAGTGGTCTACCAAGACTGGGTGTGGGGGGCGGTGGTGTTCAGGGAGAACCCTAGATGAACTACACAAGGACTCCTAGTAAAATTTGAACATCTGGAGCAGGAAGGATTGAAAGGATTAATGAGTCCAGATAGTGACCATTCTTGGTTTTGCTGAGGGGGGCTGGGAAGGTGAAAGTAGTTAAGCTAACCCAAACTCCAGGGCATCACTTCCTAGGTGAGCCTTAGTGACATTCTCCAATGTAGAGCTTCTTGGCCATCCATCCTAAAGGAAAAAAAAATATTGCCAAGGGAAAATATCTGTGTTCCATTGCTTTTCCTCCATGTATGAAACTGAGTCTTTAGGTTCACTGGGATGTCTCCAACAGTTAATCTGTTTCCAGGATGGGGGTGGTATTATAGAAATGGAGGAGGCCCAGGGACATATCCCATTAGGATAGTCATTGGGAAATAGCTAAAAATCACAGATTCTTCTGTAGAGACTCCAACTGAGTCAACATGTTTATGTTCCAGTTCAACTTTGGTTCATCTTATAAAGGTTCAGTTCCATTTCCAATTGGATAGTAAGAGTTCTCTGTCTCTGTCTCTGTCTTTCTCTCTCTGTCTCTGTCTCTCTCTCAATTTAACTTGCTTCATGGTCCAATTTAAGAATTTATACTTGAATTCAGTTTGGGGTACAGCAAAGTTATGTGGCTTGTTCCAGTTTCTAGCATGATTCAGTTCAAATGTGTACTTCCAACACCATGTCACTGTTATGAGCAAAGCTAAATATTGTTGCCTGAGAGGTCCCCAAGGAGAACTTGGAAAGAACTTTTAGGCAACAATGTCATGCTCATTCACCTTACTCTCTGCTGTCTAGTCTCAAGGCAAGCCTAGTCCTAATACATCCCACAGAAGAGCATTTCAAACTATGGTTCTGGTCCTATAAAAAAATAATAATGTTAATAAAAACAATAATGACCAGTATCATTTACAGATCACTTAATGTCTGCCTGGCTCTATGCTATGGTGTTCATATGCATTATTTAATGTAATAAATAAATACTATGATTGTCCTCCTTTCCTTGATGAGAACATTGAGGCCAGAGTGGGGCATAGTATGTCCAAGATTCAACAGCTAGGAAGTGGTATTGTAAGTGTTAAGCTTATTCTCATTTATCTGCAAGGAATCCAGGATGCAGAGAGATTCTTTAAATTGCCCAAGGTCACAGACAGCAAGTGTCAGTGATTAAGTACCATTTCCTCTTCTCTTCTTTGAGCCTGCACCAGTGTTTTCTTTGAAAAGCTGAGCCACTTAAACCTTGCTAAAGATGAATATGATTTGAAATGAGTAGAGTAAAACCTCACTATGCTTTGATTGGAGGCAAGTACAGTGGAAATTAATCAAAAGCTTGAATTACATACTATATGAAAAGAAATGCTGTTTTCATCACTTGTAAATACATATAATCATTGGAACCAAGCTGCTATAACACTTTAGGGCACCTGCCTTAATAAATGGTGAAGAATGATTTGTACTTAGAACATCAACTGTTGCTCAGAAGACTTATCAAGAAATGTGTTCTATGTAATGCTCTAATCTGCACTCCCCTGCAATCTTGCTCCTGGTTATCATGTAGTTAAGCAAGCCCTTCTATTGGAGAAGCTATAAAGGTAAACTGAAATCAGACCATAACATGATTCTCACCAATACCAGATTGGTGACAATTCAATAATCAAAGATATGCTGAATTTGTGGAAAGTTTTAAAAAGCTAGCAGGATGTTGGTGGTTTATATCTGCAATCCTAGCCATTCTGGAGGCTGAGATCAGAGAATCATGGTTCCAAGCCAGTCCAGGAAAAAAAAGTCTGTGAGACTCTACTCTCCAATAAAGACCCCCAAAAAAGCCTGAAGTGGAGGTACAATTCAAGTGACAGAGCACTAGCTTTGAGCAAAAAAGCTCAGAGACAGCACTCTGGACCAAAATTCAAACCCCAGGACAGGCACACATGCACACCCATGCACCCAAACAAATCCATCTCATATCTGACTTGGTTCTAGGTCATAAGTTCAGTGGAGAGCCAAAACTTGTTGGCAAGCACTGACCACTGTCATCTTTGGTTGCTCTGCAGGAATGATTTTAGTCATTTACTTCTTCTTCTATGCCTCCCTGGCTGCTGTGATCACTGTCTGCATGTACATGCTCTTTCTGACCATCAGTCCTTACATGCCGACCTTCACTGAGAGGATGAAGCCTGGTGAGTGTGCCCAAATGCTCTGTGTTGTCAGAACTCTCTGGACAGAAATCTGCTTGCACAGCATGTTCAGCTTCAATTAAATTTGGTTCTTCCCGGTAATGACTTAAGAAATTCAATTATTAAGAGCAAAAGTAAAATGGTACTTGGCAAATTATGGTCCTTTTCATTTTGATTGCCTGGGGGGAAATGGTTTCATGGGAATCAATACAAAAAAATGATCCAAGAATGGGTTAATATATCCAAGACTTGTTTTCATTGCCAGGAGTTATGATCAGACCCTTCGCTCATAGCCTTAATTTCAACTTCAACGTTTCTGAACCTGACACTTGGCAGCATTATGTGATTAGCCTAAATGGCTTTCTCCAGGGTAAGTAAGTTCCTCTGAATGGTGGAAAGCTCTTTTGAAAGGTGATGGGTGGCAGATCAAAATTTTAAAATTCACCTGGCCCAGAAATTCCAGTCTCAGCAATGCCAGCCCACTGTGGTCTTTTCTTGCTTTGAATCCTCCTCAGCATCCCTCATGTAATAAAAAAAATACTCTAGTGTATGATTGTATGAGATGCATTGAAAGCATACCAGTTGACTCTACACAAGAAGCACTTTGAGGCACAAAGTTTGTTTTCTGTTTGCAAACATCTTTACAGCACCAAGTTAAATCCTGAGAACATCTGAGTGGCCCCCATTATAAGTGATCACTTATAAAATAATAATAATAATTCTGGAGGGATATAATGGTGAGAAAAAGAGAATGTTCTCCAAAACTGAAAAGTTTCTGCCTCTTGTATTTTATCATGATAAGATCATTTATTTATTTTTTAATTTAATTTAATTTTTTGTGAACATACTGTACAGAGGGGTTACAATTACATGGGCAGGATAATGCATACATTTCTTACCAAGCATTGCAGCCTCCTCCTTTGTTTACCCTTCACATCCCTTCCCTACCTCCCCCCTACCTCCCCACCACCCAATCTTCCCCCCCTCCCCCGCACCAACATTGTAAAGCTCGTTTTAGACATAACCTTGTACTTCTCATTGTTGCAACAGGTCCACCTGTATCCTTAAACGACTTGTTTTTCCCCATCTCCTCCACAATTTATACTGACATCAAATATAGTGAAAGCAGGAGTTATACTGTGGGGGAGGGACATACAAAGCAACAAAGAGATAGATTATGAATGCCTTAGAAACAAATGCATGAAATAAAAAAGCATTAAAATACATATCTAAGGGTTCATTTTCCTAACATCACATTATCTGACCTTTTCCGCTTGACTCATACATATACTAGATATTGCAAATAAGGGAAACCATGGGACCTATGTTTCTTTGGGCCTGGCTTACTTCACTTAATGTAATTTTTTCCAAGTTTTTCCATTTCCTAACAAATGGGGCAGTGTCATTCTTTCTGATGGAGGCACAGAATTCCATTGTGTATATATACCACATTTTCTTGATCCATTCATCTACTGAGGGGCATCTGGGTTGGTTCCATATCTTAGCTATGGTAAATAATGCTGCAATAAACATAGTTGTGCTGGTAGCTTTAGTGTGGTCTTGTTTGTAAACATTTGGGTAAATGCCCAAAAGTGGGATTGCTGGGTCATAGGGGAGCTCTATGTGAAGTCTTTTGAGGAACCTCCATACTGCTTTCCAAAGTGGTTGAACAAGTTTACACTCCCACCAACAATGAAGTAAGGTTCCTTTCTGTCCACATCCCCTCCAGCATCTGTTGTTGTTAGAGTTCTTGATTATAGCCATCCTGACTGGGGTGAGGTGGGATCTCAATGTTGTTTTGATTTGCATTTCTTTTATGGCTAGGGAGGTTGAGCATTTCTTCATGTGTCTATTGGCCATCCTTCTTTCTTCTTCAGAGAAGTTTCTCTTCAAGTCTTTAGCCCACTTATTTATTGGGCAGTTGTTTCTTTGAGGATTTGTTGTTGGGGGATTTAATTTTTTGAGTTCCAAGTATATTTTAGATATGAGACCCTTGTCTGTTGTATGGTTAGTGAAGATCTTCTCCCAATCTGTGGGCTTTCTATTGATCTTGCTAGTTATGTCCTTTGCCATGCAGAAGCTCTGCAACTTCATGCAATCCCATTTGTCCAACCTTTCTTTGATTTGTTGTGTTTCTGGTTCTCTATTCAGAAAATTTCGGCCTGTGCCAAGGAGACCTAGCGTTTCTCCTATTCCATCCTGTAATGTTTTCAGAGTGTCTGCTTTGACTTGGAGGTCTTTGATCCATTTGGAGTTGATTCTGGTGCAGGGGGATATATAAGGTTCTGCTTTAGTTTTCTACAAGTAGTTAACCAATTTTGCCAGCACCATTTAATGAAGAGACTGTCTTTCTTCCATTCTATTGTTTTAGCTCCCTTATTGAAGATTAGATGGCTATAGGTCTGTAGGTTCATTTCTGGGTTTTCATTTCTGTTCTTATTCCAATACCAAGCTGTTTTGATTACTATGGCTTTATAGTAGAGTTTGAAATTTGGTATTGATATTCCTCCAGCGTGTTCTTTCCGTTGAGGAGCGTTTTTGCTATTCGGGGTCTTTTATTGTTCCATATAAATTTTTGGATTGCCTCTTCTATTTCCTTGAAGAATGAGGTTGGAATTTTGATAGGTATCACGTTAAGATCATTTATTTTTTTCTGGATAGGCTATCTTTAAGAGAGAAGAAAGCATCTTCATTTAATACCATTCTAGAAAGGAGTCAGAGGAATCATCTCTGCATAACTTAACTTCAACAGTTTTCCTCAAGTATTTTAGATGGCTGTCTTCTTTAGTGTTACCAGACATTTTCAGGGACTAAGACTTTGTGGGAAGCCTTTCCATGTGGCAAAAGCTGAGGCACTGGGTGCAGACACTGGTGGCTCACACTTATACTCCTAGCTACTCAGGAAGTTGAGATCTGAGGATTATGGTTTTGAAGCTAGCCCAGGCTAGAAAGTCCATGAGACTCCTATCTCCAATTAACCTCTAAAGTGGACCTGTGGCTCAAGTGGTGGAGCATTAGCCTTGAGGGAAAAAACAAAACCAAGAACAGTGTCCAGGCCAAGTCCAAGTCCCAGAACTGGCACAAAAATAAAATAAGATCAAAAACTGAGGCATTAACAGCTTGGTTGAAGTTAAACCCAGAATATACAGATTCTGTATCTTCCAGCTGTCAGAGATTCCCCTTGCCTGCTTTGGTGGCATATGCCAGTCACATCAGCACTTGGGAGGCAGAGGTGGGAGGATCAGTTGAGCGGAAGAGTTGGAGACCAGTGTTGGAAATATAGTTAGACCTTGTATCAAAATGAAGAGGCCCCGAACGTACACTGAATTAGGAAGAGAGTGATTGCTTATCATGTGGTAGGAAGTGTTACTCAATTAACTTTAAATGTTTTCTCATTTAACTTTAACCAGGCCTAACAGAGCCCATTCTCCTCAAAAATAAGGAAACTGAGTCACAAAGGAGACACAATTTGGTCTAAATCGCCTAGCAGTGGAACCAGTGTTTGAGCTCACATGTTTTGACACTCATGCCTTTATCCAGGGAGCTGTAACACCAAGGCATCACCTGGGAGTTAGAAAGGTAGAATGCCAGGTCCTACCTCAGAGCTATTGAATCAGAATCTGCATTTTAGCAAAATCTGCAGGTGTTAAGTTTGAACTTTAGAGTTTGAGAAGTTCTCTTTCATCTCTGGGCAGTAGCCATCTAACCAGGAGTTTAAAACTCATTTTTAAATCAGCAATGTTCAGTGTTATTTTGAGGAAAATTGAGCTTCAGATTCCTCACCTACAGTATGAGAGAGCAAAGTTCTTCCTGATCCATGTAGTTCCATTTTTGGCCACAGAAATATTTTAGTTTTTAGAAATATTTAGTTTTTAGTTCTTAAAAGTAGATAATAGGTTCGGCTAAATAGGAACACATAACTGAAGTAGACATCCTAGAATATCAATTTCATTCCCATGAGGACTGCAATTTTGCAGTAAGGGTCATGCTCATGTCTCATTATTTTTAATGGACCTACCTCAAGGGAAACAATAAGCATGTGATTGCAGCTTCTGTTTAGAAAGTTATAAAGAGAGCTGGTGCTTATTCTTTTAAAAAGATTAAAACAAAGCCTTGAATATAGCTTTGTCAAAGGAAAAATAGAGACCTAGCTATAAGTGGTATTGAACTTAAAATCCAAGTTGCCTCTTAAGAATAGTAAACCCAAGTCACAATCATCTAGATGTGGCTCTAGCATTACAATTTGTGTTTTACCTCTGTTGAGTCATAGGCTCACAATCTTCCCTGAAAAACTCAACTACATCAACCATGAATACCTGTCTGGATCTATCATGAATAACTGGACTCCATCCCATGTTTTATTATTTCCAAATTGCTTGAAAAAATATTACTATATAATATATTATACTATATCATATATTAATATATTAAAATCCATTATATCTGAATAATATATTAGGATACTGTTAATATTAATTACATATTAGTGTATAACATATAATACATATAATGCATTATTATTACATTATTTTCAAGCAGTTTGGAAATAATAATTTCCAAACCTCAGTTTGATGGAACTCACAGCTCAAATATTGAAAATACAAATAGCTCCTTTCAGCTCTCTGATATAGGTTCTTTGGATACCTATTACATGCCATCCAAAATAAAATGACACTAACCCTAAGTATCTTTGGACTCAATACACAAGATCTCACCTTCTCTCCATTGACCCTGTGATTATCACTGGATTCTATATTTTCACTGAAAGTCTTACTTGCTGTACTAATATTCTGTAAAGGATGAGGATCTGGCTTATTTCCTCCTCTACTTTCTCCCCCCCTCTCCAGCCCTGCCACTTTGTTCTCTTCTTTCTCCTCATGCCTTTTTTTCTTCTTTCATGTTCCTTCAGTTCCACAACGCTTCTCACTTTCTTACATCAGCTGCCTCTCATTGACCTCCAAAGTACACATTTCTAAACTAAAAAAAATTGTCAGTTGTGGGGCTTGAACTCTGGGCTGGGGTGCTGTCCTTGCACTCTTCAGCTCAAGGCGAGTACTCTACCACTTGAGCCACAGCACCACTTCTGGTTTTCTAGTGGTTTATTGGAGATAAGAGTCTCACTAACTTTCCTGCCCAGGCTGGCTTTGAATCTGGATCCTCAGATCTCAGCCTCCTGAGTAGCTAGGATTACAGGTGTGAGCCACTGGCACCCGTCCTAAATTTAAAGAGATTTAACTTAGGAACTTAGATTCCTTATATATGTCATGCCTTAAGATGATTCAATCTTCTTCCAAAATCTACCAGCCGCATGCCCATTTTTCATCGAGAAGGAGAAAAGATAGCTCCTCTAAATTTATAGCTCAACATATTTGGAAAGATGTAATGGAAAAAATAGAAAAAAATTATAAGGTGATCAAACTAACACATGGCCCAGAAATAGATGTCCATAAGTTCTAAGGGAATGAGGAATAGAGTATAGGTAATTAGGTGGGCTGAGGTGACTAGCCTGGAGGCTTCCTAGAAGGCAATTGCCAATGAAACCCTTGAGCATCTGAGGCAGATGCTCTTGTTTCAGAGTGGTAAATGCATGCTGGAGCAAAGGAAATTAGGGAATAAGAACTACTGAAAATATGCTCTTCCCCTGTAGCACCTCCTAACATAACCTTTGTCACCTACACATGCTTTAGGCTATAATGACAGTCTTCAAGAGGAAATGAATGTAGATTGCCCACCAGGACAGTACTTCATCCAAGATGGAGATGAAGATGAGGACAAGAAGGCCTGTCAGTTTAAGCGTTCCTTCCTGAAGAACTGCTCTGGTCTGGAGGACCCCACTTTTGGATACTCTACTGGACAGCCTTGCATTCTTCTAAAGATGAACCGGGTATATTAGCTTTTATTATCCAATGATGTTAAGTGGATGGGCTGGGTTAGGAGCACTGCGAAGTCTGCATTTCTTTTGGGCTCTGGTCTTCACACACTACAAGTTTAGCTATTTTAACCAACAGCATCAGAAATGCAAATAATGAGGCAAAGCTCTCAATTCCTTTTTCTCCTTCAATGCTTCCTATTGCCATTCTTCTTCCCCATTCCCAAACCTGCCCCTGATGATTCTTACTAAAAATGGGATCCTGGCTGGGCATGTCTGCAACTCCAGCACCAAGGAGGAATCTTGTGCTATTTGGAACAGAGGATTGACATGGGGGAATATGATGGGGACAGTTCTATCATTGTCTCCTGTCATGCCTTACTCATGCTTTATCAGACACACTTCTTGAAACAAGAAACTCTACATCATTAAGGCTATCTTCATGAAATTTCCCCAATGTGTCAGTATCAGACAGAAATATAGCATGTAGTAAATTGGACTGCAGGACTTGGAAGCTGTTTTGCATTTTCTGATGTTTTTAACCATTTCTGAGAGGGCAAAATAGATGAAGTTAATGCCTGAACAGGGATAACTCAAGGAGGGAAGGTTAGAAAAACCTGTTTTTTACTGTGAAGAAAAAGAAAGAAAAAAAACACACTGGTTTTCTTTTGCTAGATTGTAGGCTTTCGTCCTGAGTTTGGAGATCCAGTGAAGGTTTCCTGCAAAGTTCAGGTAAATTGCTTTTGAATAAGCACTGTTGGTATTTCTGTTTCATGTGGAAAGATTCTTTCCAAAAACTTACACATGAAAGAAATCATCCCATTTGAAACTATACTGACTTGTAATGTCTTCAGACCTTCCTCTTTCCAGAAAGCATTCAACCCATGCATGTTTTTGTGTGTGTAGTGGAGGTGGGGTGGGGTCAGTGTGTCACAATTTATACCTATGAAAGCCAAACACTGAACTTCAGCTAGGGGGCCATAGCAGGGAACAGAGATGTGCCAAATCTTTAATTGGGATTCTGTTTACGCTTTTGCTTTTAGCTTTAATTACTTGTTTCTTTGAACTAAACAAACAGTTTTCATTAGAGTCATTAGTCCATTATTTTCAAACTGAATTTCACATTTTGTAGCAATGACCAGTGGCATTGGGTGTTGCAATAACAAATGACTACAAGGGAAGTATAAACAGAACTGCATTAATATGCTAATTAACTGTCCTTGGAGGGGCCATTAACTCCTATCTCATCTGCACCAATTAGCAACTTGTAGCAACAAGCCCTAGATATTGCATTTGTTTCTTAAACAGGCAGTAGTTTCTTCTTGTTCAATAACATCAACTGAACCCCCTAGCCCTGGACAGTTGTCTTACCAATGTAAGAGGCCAGATAATTCCATTGTCAGTGCTAGAAATAAAGCTTAAAACTTTCATTCTCTTGTTGACAGATCATAAAGCAGTATAAAGCAACAATTATTCAAGCAATTGCCCATGTTTAGAAAGTATTTGTTGATCTTATGAGATACTAGTTACTTTGCTAGATATTAGATAAATCTGACTGTCTCTGAAATCAGGGCAAAGAAGTACTGCAGGCACAATGAAGGGTACAACAGGATCACTGAAGAGAGGTAGATCAGTTCCATATGAGGGGTGATGATGCTGAAGATGAGCTTTGAAATGTCAATCAATATTTGCCAGGTGTACAAAGTATATGTGTAAACAGTCAAACAGGTGAGGTGTGACAAACCAAAAGAATTGATTTCACAGGCCATTTGTAAAAGGTAACTTTCATTAGTTATTTTTTTTAGAACAGACAAATATAAATCATAAAAGTCAACTTGATCTTTTTCTTTTTTTTATGATATTGAGATTTAAACTCAAGGTCTCATACTTCCAAAATGGGCACCCTGACCACTGAGCCACATCTCCAGACATGATTTCTGCTGTTTATTTTTGGAATAGAATATTGGGCTTGAGTCTGGGCTGTTCCACCTATATAACGCTAGGACAATAAGCATTGCCCATCACATCCAGCTCTTCTTTGAGAAGGGGTCTCTTAGACTTTTTTTAAAAAAAATCCCAGACTGGGATTACAGTATGTGTCACTGATGCCCACTCTCAATCCAATCTTAAAAATAGCATATATTTTTTCTTTTTCAGTGTTAGGATGTGACTGAGGGCCTCCCATATTAGGCAAATACTCTACCACTGAGTTTCTTCACAACCTTGTCAGTTAGCTATTAGTAAGCTATTCATTTTTCAACATACATTGAGCCTTGGGGAAAGTGAATATAAGAATCTCTGTATATTCTATAATAATCAGTACTAGTCAAACCCACACCCACATGTGGAAATCAAACAAGTAATAGCTAGTATAAATTATTGGAAGCTTAGTTTATAACCAAAAAACTATAGTAACAAAAGTAATCACATGACCCCAGGGAGTAACTGGCTAGCAATAATACACCATTTGGCCACATTAGCCCCTTGACCTCTGTTATTCAGAGCATGTCTAGTATACGAGCAGAATAAGCAGCCCCTAACCTGTCATGATGAGATGAGTGTAACCCTGTTGAACCAATCATCTCCATTACCTGTGTCTCTTGTGATTCCTCTCCTGACACTATCTACTGTAATTGAGAACTATAATGTTGCCAGAGACATAGGCTGTGTGTCTATGCATCAGGGCCCTGTGTATTGAATCCAAATTCTAATAGAACTGAGCCTGCAGTATCCATGTTGTAAAGCAGGATTTAATAAATATGTTCTAATTCATGCATGCCTCAGGTCCAATAAGTCCAGGTGCCAGGCTCACTGTAATTCTTTGGAGAAAGGCTAGAGTATATGAAAAGCCCTTTACAACCTTTCTGCTTGGGTTCACTGGCAGCAAGAAAAGAGCAATACTGAGCACTTTTGACCTTCTCAGCTGAGGCCTTCCATTCAATGTTCTTTGAACTGCAAAACTAAGGCAAAGCCATTCTTTGATTGTTTTTCTTTGGGCACAGGTTAAGGTTTATTTCTGCTCCATTCTGCTTTTTTGGTCTTCCTGGGACATTTGTTTGTGGGCCACAGTGTGATTTCATCTGAGGTCCAAGTTATTTTTGCTCAAAATTCAACTCACTCTGTGACTCAACATACCACATATACCTTTTGCTTACAGAGAGGTGACGAAAATGACATTCGATCCATCAATTACTACCCAGAGTCGGCTTCTTTTGACCTCCGTTACTATCCTTACTATGGTAAACTGACTCATGTAAGTTTTATCCCTTCCTTTTTTCCTGTCACTTTAGGACCTGGGATGCCTGGGATTTATGGAAATTAGGGAGCAGCAGGTAGTAAAGGATAGATTAAAGGGCTCCCTCTACAAATTTATATCACAACTAGATACCTTTCCATATCATAAAGAACTTCATATACCTGGGCACCCATGGCTCATGCCTGTAATTCTAGCTATTCAGGAAGCTGAGATCTGAGGATCACAGTTCAAAGCCACCTCAAGCAGTAAAGACTAGGAGACCCTTATCTCCAATTAACCACCAAGTAGATTGAAGTGGAGCTGTGGGTAAAGTGATATAGTGCTAACCTTGAGCACTAGAGTTCAAGCCCCAAAACTGGTACATACACAGTTTGCTCTAACCTCTATAGTTTTCAAGTGGGAAAATGATGGCTCAGTAAGAGGAAGTGACTTTTCCAAGCTCACGTATGTGGCAAAGCTAGGAGCAGACAAATCAGTACTATTGTGCTTAATCATGCTCAAATAATCACACTTCCTTGTTTCTCCTATTTGAAGCCTTTGAGTCAGGAAGACTAATCTCCACTATAGAGACTTTACAGATACTAGTTTTGGTTTGATTCATGTCTGATATCCAGAAAATTAATCACTTTGAGTCAAAATTGGTTTTCCCCAGAGGACAATCAGACATCTGACAGTGACTTATGAGAGAAATGGTTAATTTCTCCACAGTTTCCCAAGGCAGGAAGAACTTATCAGCTGTTATGGTCATTTGTGACTTGGCAGGATAAGATTTACTCGGTTTCCTTTGTGGAGGTAATGGTATTTTGCTCATTTATAATTCATTATTCTTTCACCTACAGGTTAACTACACCTCGCCCCTGGTTGCAATGCACTTTACTGATGTAGTGAAGAACCAAGTGGTGCCTGTGCAGTGCCAGCTGAAGGGCAAAGGCATCATAAATGATGTCATCAATGATCGTTTTGTGGGTAGAGTAATCTTTACCCTGAACATAGAAACTTAACCACTTCAGAAGTCCACTCCCACCAGTTCTGTTTCTTGTTTTGTTTCTTATTCCTAGTAGCATCTGCATTCTTTTACTTCAATTAGGACACAGTCAGATGGATGTCTAAGGTAGCAGATTATCTTTCCTTGCCTTTGACATGTGTGTGAAGTGATATTGGGACCTGTTTGATTTTCTTTTAAGGTAGTCTTTCTTGATGAAAAATAGATTATATCAATTTCTTTTCCCTTCAGTTGAAACTAAGACCCATTCTTGCTGCTAAAAGTGTCACTGCAGTATACACATAATACCGGATAAAGTCCTTGATAGCCATGGTTAGGAGATAGTCTATGATGCTTAAAAATTCATCATGTTTTCTGATATTTTTTTGGTTTTGACAATGAGATTCCTTCCAACCAGAATAATAATCTCAACTTCTCTTTTTCCTTTTAAAAATTACCTGGCAAGGTCCTTCTTTAGTGATACCCATTCAGACTAATTCAGACTATATCTAAGACCACTTTACTTACAAAACTTTATATTCAGGGGACGTGAGAAACTGGCTGCTTCCCATAGAAAACTAAATATGTTTCAAACCGTAGGTTATTTTCAACTGAGACAGAAGCAGTGCTAAGTGGCTATTGTTTTGGGATAGAGATGAAGAACTTCCATGTAAGTTTTTTTTTGTTCTACAATTGAGGCTCGAATTCATGGCATAGGCACATCCTGTTAGCTTTTTTGCCCAAGACTGTTACTCTACCACTTGAGCCACAGCTCCACTTCCAGCTTTTTGCTGGTTAATTGGAGATAAGAGCCTCATGGACTTTTCTGCCTGGCTTGGCTTTGAAATGTAATCCTCAGATCTCAACCCCCTGAGTAGCTACAATTGTAGGCATGAGCCATCAGTGCCTTGTTTATACAAGTTCTGACAGAGGTGTGTCCCAGTGCAAATGTGGAAAATAATTACATGTGGATGGGATTGGTGGTTGGTTCCTTGCTCCATGGTATTATTGTACCAACTAAAAACTACTCCTGCAAACAAGTTTGCCTCAGCTTCAGGCAGAGGAGAAAATATGAATGAGTTCCATTGGCCAATTCTTGAGCTATTTGCTTGACAATATGATTTTTGACAGTATAATTTTTTGAGACTCTCATAGATGGCTATGTTGACCCCCAGCTGCAGCCTTGACAATTGAAATTAGGGTTTGTCATCTAATACATGGCAAGACAGAAAACTCCTGCCAGGCCACCCTGATGCCAAGGCTCATCGGCCAGTTTTGTTTTTACTTAAAAAACAAGTGACACGAGGCAGATGTTTATTCAGGTTGTGGATCAGCCAAGTTGCTTTATCTTATCTCTGGCCATGTGACCATTGAATTACTTCTTAGCACCTCCACCAGGGGGAAGTCTGGGACAAAGAGAAAAGGCACACATCCATGAAAAGCGTGTCAGGGTTCAAAGCAAGCTTAAATGCCACATAGATGTTCACAGAGTCGATATCCTCTACAGTGTTTACTTTCTCCCTGACAGGGTCCTGGCAGTCTGGTGAAGAAACAAGTGAAAAAATAAGTATGGTATAGCGTGATGAGAGTTATAAACCCAGTATGTGGAAAAGATATGAGAAACAAGAAAGAAAATAGCTATCTCCAATTGAGAATGAAGCCACAATCATGAAACAATCATCTTGTGTTTTGTTATCGGGGATCAGTACATGGAACAAGTATAAAGAACTCAGAAGAATGTCAGGGAGTGATAGGACACTGTGCTAGACAGGTATTCCAGGGACTGAGTTTTATTCAGTAGGTGAAGGGAAGTCTTTGAAGCATTTTAATCAGGGAAGCTCTGCAATTACATTTTCATTTTAGAAAGAGCACTTTGGCAATCATAATGTGAAGGGTGGGTTGGAGACAGAAAAGACTATGGAATGACAAAAAACCACAAGGTTTTTAGCTTGGCTAAAACCAGGGAGATGGTGGATTGTTGATGAAGATGATATAAAAGAAGTAAGTTTGGAAAGGAAGTGGTTGAGATTAGTTTGGACAATTTCAGGGCTTGTGGTTTTTCTGGTCAGACACTGATGTGCAGAATGTAAACATGTAGAGTTGGACAGAAGAAAAGCTGAGAACAAAAGTAACATTTGGTTAAATGGACTCACTTAAGACATTCTAAGATAGTTAATGTTAGGCATTTGATCCAGTTATGTAAATTCACTATACCAATCTAGTCCCTAACATTCTATTTTTCTTTTGACTTTGTGGCAAAATCGACTGCTACTGCTCTTTGGAATCTTCCCAGATACCTTCTAAGTTTTTATCAACAGAGTAAGGGAAGGGTGATCACTTTTAACAAGTGGTAGAAGATATATAGGACAGCGGCTCTATGGAAAACATAAGTAGCAAAGAAACTATTTCTTCTCAACCCATTTCCTTAACGAGTTCAATTTTCAAAACTGTTAAAAAGAAAAAAGTATAAAATGGAAACAACGATTTTAAATCATTTTTAAATGGCCTAAAACAATATAACTCTTAAGATTTAATAGAAAAAGACAATAGAACACTAGCTCTGGAAAAGATATTAGAGAACAGTTAGAGGAAACAACCTGCATTGCATCTGACTCCAGGTCCAGGGCTCTTTCTACTCTGAGCTGCTGTTTACCAGGAAGTACCATCGTTTTAAAAATCAATGGACGATACCCCAAACACTTTGAAACATATGTCAAACGTGAGTTAAAACAGTTGACATTTTACAGGAATTCAACTATTGGTGCTATATTTTGTATATAATACATGATCCTGTTAAATACATTTACTGTTAAGCAAGGAATTATGACTCTTTCATCAGGTAGTATTTCATATTCAATGGAATCTATCATATCCATAGTTTCCAGAAAGTATTGAAGAATACTAACAAAGTTTGGGTTGTTTTTAGGACATGAAAAAGTAACTTCATTATACAGAACTGGATATTATATAGAACTGGATTCACAAATATCTTCATACTAGATTCTGATTTAGCTGTTCAATAAACTTGTAGTTGATTAATTTTGAAAGTCTTCTATACTGTGCTGTACTAGGATTTGATTTGTATACCATCTGCTGCAATTTACTTGGTTTTACTTGATTGTAAATGAGAAATATTACTTCCAAATGCTTTCATGGTTTTGTTCATGCTAGACTTTGGTTATGATTTCTCATCTTCTATACCTCTAAAATCATTATCTTAAAGCTATCTTTTTTGCACCCATTTACTGGGGGAGGTATTCATGTAGAAAATATTTAAAATATTTATGTTGTCTTAGAGGCTTATGAACATAATAAATTAAAATAAGTTTAAATTTATGGTTTCCTCTCTTTGGATTGTGTCACTTATTTTTCCACAGGAATACTGGGAAGATGTGGGTAAAAAACTTATCAATTGATAACTAATTGGTTGAAGAGCTTCATTTTCTTCTCACCTCAACTTATTATTTACTCTTGAAGGTTTCATCCACAAGAGGGTAAAACTAAAAGTTGTTTCATGTCTGGGGATTTTCTTTTTTTGAGTCACCATGTTCCAGTTTCTCGGAAGAGTGCTTCGTCAGAGCAGTTTTGCTTTCTTCATCAAGGTTGAGTCCTAGTATAAATTGTTCTGTTTGTTTGTGCAGGAAATGGACACTTAGAGAGAAACTTTGAGGTAGGGAATGGAACAAAGATCTAAAGAAAAACTCTAAATATGCTTGATGAAAGCCTGCCTAAGTGACTTCAGGGCATATCTGACCACAATCTATCTCTCAGGGTAAATCTCTTGTGGCAACTGCAATTAAAGACAAACATTTCCAGTCCTTTCTTCAACTGAGATGCTAGGCTGCAGCAAAAACCATTCTTCCCTTGGAAGCTGCTCTGGCCTAGGATCTACTAGGGGGGGTATAGTTTGATTTGGGAGTTTCATAATCCCAATATTTCCCCCTATTACTCACTTTCTTCTGTACTGAATTTCCCTTAAATATGTATATGTAATACACTAATTTAATCAAATCACACAGAAGTACAATGTACACTGTTTTTATCTATGCAGAAAATAGAAGTTTCAGTATTTGTGTGTGTGTGTGTGTGTGCATGCGCATGTGTGTTTGTGTTTGGAGCAGTGGATTGGGATATAATAAACAGAAATAAAGGGTAAGGAAAAGGTGTTGAAAGACTCCTTTGCATAGTTTTTTAAGTTGTAGGCTCAAAGGGAAAAAGAAAGATAAAAAATATTCAAGGATATAATAGGCTACCTGTCTTGCAGTTTTCTCTCAAGAACGTACTTCATTACAAGCTTCTGGATAATGACAGCATTAGTCAAGGATAAAAAAAAAAGAAATAAATAAGCACTAGATAATAATTGGAAGAGTGTTTATTTACAAAGTGATTACTTATAAGAGAATGTGTGTAGGGAACCACAAATCTCACAGTTAATACCCATAGTCAATATTGAATTCTTGCTATCACTAAACTCTAAGGTTCTAGGGTCAAAAAGTAGTTGACAGGACCCAGGAATGAGTTATGTATAGTTGGTTGCCTTGAGAGAAGTAGTGTTCTTCTGGAACTATTTACTTCATCAGGTGATCTTGTAGGGAGAGAAAGAAGGGGAACATAAGTTTTCCTCCTAGTAATTCTCCTCAGTCAAACCAAGACCAAAAGTCAGAGGACAAAGAACCCTGTTGATGTGGTTCATAAAGGTCAGAATGAACGTGATATGCAGAAGGGTGCACCAGGAGGTACCTCGTTTGGCAATCAAGTAGAGGGTCTATGAGCAGACTCCTTGGAGATTTTATAACCGTTCTCTGAGCGTACTTGAGTCATGGGGTCAATTTTACCTTTGAACATATTCTGCTCTGTAGCTATGGGGTCAAAAGCATTAAGCTTTACCATTAGAAATTTTTTCTCTACTCATTAGCATTTCAGCATTTTGTCTTCTTTAAATTTTTCTCCCTTAAAACCTTACTGCATTGTTGGTAAGAGTGTAAACTTGTTCAACCACTTTGGAAAGCAGTATGGAGG